GGTCACGGGTTGAATCCAGCTCAGGTGAAAAGTAGCAAGACCCCATTCAGACATTAGTTGGGCACTGTGATGTGTACCTGTCATACCAGCTATGTGGAAAGCATAAATAGGAGAATCATGGTCCAGGCCAGCCCAGCCAAAACTAAAGCAAAAAAAGAAAAGGGCTGGAGAGCATGACTCGGTAGAACACCTGCCTAGCAAGCACAAGGGGTCTGGAGTTCAACTCCCAGTACTACCAAAAAAAAAAGTTGCTTTTAGCTAAGACATGGTAACATGAGGATTTGAACCCAGAGCATCTGTGCTCACCACTTCACTTTACCACTTCTGTTCAGACTTAGTTGTGTGGGTTTTGTAGAGCCAGTAGAACAATAAAGCAGAGCTATTCAGGAGTAGTACATATGGGTGTGAAGCTCTGGAGAGAGCTGGACTTCTGCTGCAGATCTGGAAGTCACTAGGACACAAAGGAAAGCCTTGGAAAGGGAAAGGGGCCTAAAGCACTTGGACCTAGGACAGGATTCTGATGACAGAACCTCAGGAACCTCAGCATTGAAAGAGCCAGGGCAGGAGCAGAGGATTAAAAGAAGCACTCATAAATGGCCAGAGAGTTGAGAAGTCAGAGAAGGGAAGGGAAGAAATGTGTGTATGCCTTGTGCTCACAAGTGGGGATAAAGTAGTTCCTTGTGGTACATTTATAGGAGAAATGCCATGGCTCTGTGTTAGACTGACAAATTGACTGTGACCTGTGAGAGGTACACATGAAGCAGTGTGTTAAGTGAACAAACAGCAAGGTCTAACGTTTGGGTATAACTTTTTAAATTTGTGAGATTATAGTGAGCACAATTAGAAGTTGTCAGACTTTTTTAAGGTAATCACTAAACTAAAGGATTGTAAAGTATTTATAAAATTATGTTTAAAACAATATTATAAAGTAAAGGAAATACATAAAAGTTAAAATAGGCTCAAGGCATGGTTCAAACACAGAGCACCTGCCTAACAAGTGTGAGGCTATGAGTTCAACCTTGAGTTTTACACACACACACACACACACACACACACAAGTGCTGGATGCTGGTAGCTCATGCCTAGGAAGCTAAAATGGGGAGGATCTAGGTTCAAGGCCAGCCCTGGCAAAAAGTTTGTGAGACCCCAGTCTCCACTAATGGCAGGGTACCATGGTATAGTACTTGTCACCCTGGCTACGTGGGGAACCACAAATAGAATTGTGGTTCATGCTGCCCCAGACATAAAGCAGGATCCCATCTCAAAAAATAGACAACACAAAAAGGAATAGGAGAGTGGCTCAAATAGTAGAGTGCCTGCCTAGGAAGCCCAAAGTCCTGGATTCAAAAAGAAAATGATGTTACCTCTGACCAATCAGGATGGCTACTGTTAAATACCAAGCTAAGCTGGGCACTGGTGGCTCACGCCTGGAATCCTAGCTACTTAGGAGGCTGAGATCAGGAAGATTGCAGTTCGAGGCCAACCGAGGCAAATAGTTGATGAGACCCCCCATCTCCAAAAAATAACCAGAGCAAAATGTACTGGAGGTGTGGCTCAAGTGGTAGAGCACCTAGGTTCAAACTCTAGTCCCAACAAAACCAATAAACAAAAACCTCCAAACTGGTGAATCTAATTAAGATGAATTGTAGACGCATTCGTAAATATCACAATATATCTCCCTGTACAACTATTATGTGCTAATAAAAATTAATCAGAAAAAGACCCCACCAAGCTGGGTATGGTGGTACACATCTGTAACTCCAGCACTTGGGAGGCAGAGGTAGAGGAAGATCATAAATTCAAAACCAGCTTGGGCTACACATTGAGACCCTATCTCAAAAACACAAAACAAATGAAAAACACACTAGAAGCTGGGTGTGGTGGTGCTTCTGGTAACACACATGTAATCCCAGTATTCAGGAGGTGGAGGCAGGAGGATTTCAAGTTTGAGGCCAGCCTGGGCGAATATCAAAACCCTGCCTCAAAAAAAAAAAAAAAAAAACAGAAAGAAAGAAAGAAAGAAAACTCACCAGAAAATAGTATGTGCTGGGAGAATGTGGAGAAAATGGAACCCTTGTGTATTGTTGGTGCAACTGTAAAGTAGTGCAACTATTAAGGAGAAAAGTAAGGCAGTTCCTCAGCAAATTAAAACCAGAATGACCAGCTGGACGTTGGCGACTCACACCTGTAATCCTCGCTACCAGGAGGCAGAGATCAGGAGGATTGTGGTTCAAAGCCAGCCCCAGGCAAATAGTTCGCGATACCATATCTCGAAAAATCCCTCCACAAAAAAGGACTGGTGCAATGGCTCAAGTTGTAGACCTTGAGTTCACACCCCAGTACCACCAAAAAAAAAAAAAAAAAAAAGGAATTACCATATGACCCAGGAATTTCACTTCTGGGTGTCGGAGCCAGCAGTGGGACTGTGCCTGTGTGATTTGGCATCTGGCTTTGTGAGAAAGCTCTGACACTGGGAATATATCCAAAAGAGTTGAAGGGAAGGTTTCTAAGAGAGGTGCAATTGTCCATGATCATGGCAGCATTATTCACAGTAGCTAAGATGGAGAAGCAGTCCATGTATTCATTGACAGGAGAACAGATAAGCAAAATATTGGATATACATATAATAGAATTTTATTCAGCCTTAAAAAGGAAGAAGCCAGGCATGGTGGCTCACATCTGTAATTCTAGCTACTCAGGAGGCAGAGATGAGGAGGATCACAGTTCAAACACAGCTCTGGCAAATAGTCTGCGAGACCCTACCTCAAAAATACCCAACACAAAACAGGCTGGTAGAATGGCTTAAATGGTACAGCTCCTGCCTAGCAAGTGTGGGGCCCTGAGTTCAAACTCAGTACTGCTAAAAAAAATGGGGGAAGGAAATTCTGACATACACCACATCGTTCATATGGATGAGCCTTGAGGACATTGTGCTAAATGAGACATGAAGCACAAATACTTACATGCGGTATCTAGAGTAAAGTTTGTAGAGGCAGAAAATAGAATGGTAGATACCACGGGCTAGATAGGGTTACATGGAGTATGGTTATTTAATATGTATGAACTTGAGTTTTTCAAGATGAAAGAGTTCCGGAGAGGTCTGTGGTGATGGTTTTATAACAAAATGAATGTACCTACACTTCTGAGTATAAACTTAAAAATGGCCAGTACCACACAATTTAAGATGGTAAATTTTGTATTTATGTGTGTTTTTTTTTTACCACAATGAAAAATTTAGTTAAAAAAGAAAAGATTTGGACTGATGGCGTGACTCAAGTTGTAGAGTGCCTGCCTATTAAGCATGAAGCCCTGAGTTCAAGCCCCAAAGCTGCCAAAAAAAAAAGAAAAGAAAAGAAAAAATTATGGTGGCATGACTTCAGTCTGATTTGGTGAGTTGAGGGTCACATTTGGAGTAGGACCATTGGGGGGTTGGGGATTTAGCTCAGTGGAAGAGCGCTTGCCTGGCAAGTGTAAGGCCCTGAGTTCGGTCCCCAGCACCGAAAAAAAAAAAAAAAATGGAGTAGGACCATTGGTTTAGCTAAAGGGAGGTGGTACACTGAGAAGCCTAATACCCTGAGCACTCCTAAATCTTTTCTTGATTTTCTCCTGACCTTGATCACAAGCAAAGGATTTTTCTTTGGTTTTGTTCTTTATTTCATTTTATAGAGCCCTTGTGATTAAGAAGAAAAATTACACAAAAAGTAAGATCTATTCATTGTAGAAAACTTAGCCAAGTTAAGAAAAGCAAAAAAAAGACAATAAAAATCATCCATAACTCCATCAACTTGAGTAGTTACTGTTAAATTTAAGTATATTCTGGTCTTTCTACTGTTGTATTATATACATTTATATAATATCCTTATACATTTTCACATCTCTATGCATCTTTTACATGCCTGCTTTTTTTTTTTCATACAGTAACAACTTTATTATGAACTTGACTTCACATATAAAGTTCTTTAGGGTTTTTGTTGTTGTTGTTGATTTGTTCTTGTTTTTTTTTCTTTTTGCAGTACTGGGGCTTAAACTCAGGGCCTACACCTTGAGCCACTCCAGCAGCCCTTTTTTGTGATGGATTTTTTTCAAAATAAGGGTCTCATGAACTATTTGCCTGGGCTGGTTCCTGAGTAGCTAGGATTACAGCTTTGAGCCACTGGCACCTGTTAGTTTTGTTTGGTGTGCTTAGAGTCAAGCCCAGGGCCTCACAAAGGTAAACAACCATTCAACTGAGCTGCGCCCCGAGCCCAAAAAAATCTTTTCACTATGTGTGGTGTAGATAGATCTTCTTTCTTCTTATACTAATTTTAGTTTTCCACTCTTTTTCCTTGTCATGTTATGAAGACAAGAACTTTCACAGCAAGAAGGAACTTTAAGGGTCATTCATTCTCCTACTTTTACAATTGAGGCCCTAAGGACTAAATAACTTGACGAGGGTTACACTGAATATTAAGTATCAGAACAGGAACTGGACCCCACTGTACCATTTTTCATTTTCCTGCTTTCTCTGAGTTGTAGTAGATAGGTATTGCTGATATCTCAGTCCTCTTAGAGGAAGATTCTATATTCTTTCATTTTTGGAGCAGTATTTCATTTATGGTTTTTGAGCAGAGAACTTGGTACTTCTATGGCAATACTGGAGTTTGAAGTCATGGCCTTGCACTTGCTAGGCAGGCACTCTACCACTTGAGCCACACCCCCAGCTAGAACTTGTTGCCTTTGGGAGTGAGGGGCGCAATACTTGGGTTTGAACTCAGGGCCTCATACCTGCTAGGCAGATGCCCTACTACTTGAGCCACTCCACCAACCTTTTTTTGTGTTAGGTATTTTTCAAGATAGGGTCTTGCAAACCGTTTGCCCAGGGCTGGGTCTAAACCACAATCCTCTGATGTCTGCCTCCTAAATCACTAGGATTACAGGCTTGTTGCTTCTTTCAAGTTCAGACAGTAGTCTTAGCTGAGTTAGACATCCACCACTAACTAACATATTGCTTGCCATTCTAGGAGCCATGTTTGACCACAACTATGGGAAAGTCAACTCCATGCTGGAGGCCCTTGTGAGGAGATGAGTTGGTAAGAAGAGGCTGGGATGAAGATGCTGCCAGGAGTGGGTGTATTTGGTACTGGCAGCTCAGCCCGGGTCCTGGTCCCCCTGCTGAGGGCAGAAGGGTTCACAGTGGAGGCCCTGTGGGGGAAGACTGAGGAGGAGGCAAAGCAGCTGGCTGAGGAGATGAACATCACCTTCTACACCAGCCGGACTGATGACGTCTTGCTGCATCAAGATGTGGACCTGGTGTGCATCAACATTCCTCCTCCACTTACCCGGCAGATATCTGTGAAGGCTCTAGGTATGCATTGTCAGGCCACAGAAGGCAGATTGTATCTCTCTCTGGACAATTCTCTGAGCCTCAGTGCTCTTCCCTGGTCCTGGGTATTCCTCTTAGGCCTGCATTTGCATGTCATAGTACTTTGGGATGTCCCTTGCCCCTCAAGCAGAACTGGGGAGGGCATGTTGGAGGGTCTTCCATCTCTAAAAGGAAAGGACTAGCCTTCGCTGCCTCCCATTAGTAAATGCCTGAGCAAAAACTAAGGAAGTAAGAGATGGCCCATCAAGGGTCTGGAGATGATTGCATTTCAGGCAAAGTCAAGCCTGTCTCTGGGAAGTCAGCGTTCCCTGGACCCTAGGAAACTGGTTCTGATTGACATGTTTGTTCTTCTCTGTTGTGGCTCTCAGCACCACAGGAAGGAGAGGAGGCTGTCTAGCAAGGCTACTGTTTCCCATGCTTTGTCAACCCTTCACTGTAGTGAGCACACACCCTTCCTGTGAAACCATAATCTTGTATTACCAGACGGCAGGAAGGTTCTGACAGCACTGACTTCCCTGACAGGATCTGTGATATAGCCTGCTTACTTGTCCACTCCCTCAGGAAGCTGTAGATTTGGGGACCTTCTGCCCCTGGTTGAACCTGGCCTGCTGAGCTGTTCTCCTGCAGTTCCTGCTGGACTTCGCTTTCCTGTCAACTATAGACAAATTCTTCTCTTCGTCTTATGTAAATTATAATCTAATTTTGCAGGAAAACAAACTAGTAAACATTCACACAGCAGTTATTTTTTTAGTGCCTCCTTGTTCCAGACACTATCCTAATATCACTCTGGACCTTTAAAGCAGTTTTAGATCAGAGCCCTCCTTGCTTTATAATCCAGTTGAGGAGATTAGAAGCCAGGTGTGGTGGTGCATGCTTGTGATTCCAGCATTTCGGACTGAGGCAGAAAGATATTTTGAGCCCAGCCTGGACTACATATTACTTCAAGGCTAGCCTATATTATATTTTGAGACATTGTCTCCAAAAAAAGTCTATACTGGGTGTGTGGTACATAGCTGTAATCCTGGCACTTGGAGGCTGACAGGAGGGGCTCAAATTCAAGGCCTCCCTGTTACACATTAATTAATTAAGAGACTAGAAATAACACAGATTACACGGTAAGTGACAGAACACTTAAGTAACTATTCAAGTAGTGTATAACTAGTTGACAATAATTGTTTTATGTAAGCTGATAGGAGCTGGGTATCTCTGATGTAGTCAGAGGTCTCTGGGTCAGGGACTGATGTACCATGAGGCTGATATTCACTCTTCCTAGCCACTACCATGGCAGAGGACCCAAGGCTCTATTACCACTTATCTCACTTGTTCTGAGGAACATTACAAAAGAGAGTTCCTGTCACCTTTGGCCCAGTGAGCAAGAACCTGAATCCATCTGGTTGTCAATTTGGAACATTTAAATTTTGGCCAAAACTTGTAGGTGGCTTGTTTTCCAGAGAGCTCGCTCTAAAGATGTGTGATACTAGAGCTATTAATTGGTAATTAAATCTTGGGAAAGGCAGATGGTGGCTCTCAGATTGGATTTAGAAGGTAGAACTAAGCCAACACTTTAGCAAAGAGTTGGTTCCAGGGGAATCGGTTGTGGTCACTTGACTGCTTGCTTCCTGAAGCAGTGAATGTAGGCTGATTGGCAGGGTGTGTCCAGAGGCAGAGTTCTGAAGGCTCGCTGTCATCTTCCTGAGTTTTAGTGTCTCCACAGACCATTTCTAAGCTATTCAGAAGAAGGAGGAAGCATTGGGCTTCTTTGGCAACAGCTTGCTGTTTTCTGGTTCTTGATGTGGGGAAATGGTGGGCTTTGGGCCACTTAACGTGAACAGGAAGGATTAGGCATGACCAGAGGTTTCTGGGATCTTGTGTCTCAGCCCTTAGTGAAACAGGGCTGTCAGTCTTCCTTCCTCATACCTGCTGTATGGAGGAATAGTGTATATGTCAGTGTTCTTGATCTGTTTTTGCAAGTTCGTGGTCCAGAGCCAAGTTGGTAGGACCAGGAGAGCCTGTGTCAGTAGGACCTCCCCTCAAACACTGCCTACTGTAGCCCCAAAGGAGTCAGTAGAGCCTGTGATGACCATGAAGTTCACTTCCTATGTGCTCTTTACTTTTTATGAGAATTTTACTACTGTATCAATACAGTGGACAAGACTGGGAGAACTCTAGTTTTCCCCAGGCCCAGGTGTGGGTACTAGACTGTTGTAAGCAGAGCACCAGACTGACACTGACATCATATCTGACTTAATAGTCCCATCTCTGGCCCTCTCAGCATCTGTGGGCTGCCCTGAAATGGGGATATCAATTCCTACTCAGTCATTCCAGGATGATATACAACTGCCCTGCAAAGTGCTGAATGGAAAGGTCATTGGGGTCTCATTACAAGAGAAGACCTGGCTTTCCTGTTGTTCCAAACTTAAGAGCAGATGTGTCCAAGTTCATTGAGAGAAAAAAAAAATCTGGGCATGGTGTTTAATGCCTGTAATCCCAGCTACTTGAGAGGCTGAGACAGGAGGATCACAAGTTCAAGGCCAACTTGGGCAATTTATTGAGACCCTGCCTCAAAATAAAAGGGGATGGGAGTGTAGCTTAGTGGTAGAGCACTTGCCTAGCATGGACAAGCAAGGCTCTGGGTTCACCTGGGTTCAGTTCTGCCAAAAAAAAAAACACCTCAGTAGGATTCTTCTCTGGATATTTAGGTAAATGTCACTGAGTTAAATGTAGCTTAGAAATGCAACTACGTGTTCCAAATCATCTCTGATGTGAAACACTTTGTGCAGATTATCAGATTAATTTCTTGAAAGCAAGACCCATTCTCTACATCTGAGAAACTCTGAAGTATCTGGTTCATATACACTTTTGTGTACATGGTGGAGTGGCTCAAGTGGTAGAGTGCCTGCCTAGCAAGCGTGAGACCCTGAGTTCAAACCCCAGTATTGCCAAAAAAAAAAAAAACACTTTTCTGATGGACAACCAGACAGGCACAGATATTAACAGTTGTAGGGCCAAAAGCCTGGCTTAAGTGGTAGAGCACCTACCTCACAAGCAAAAAGCCCTGAAATCAAACTCTAGTACAGTACCACAAAGAAAAAAGAAAAAAAAGTTGTAAAACTACAATGTATTTTAAAATCCTCAGAGTGAGTATCCCCAAAACCCTCAATTCCACCCTTCTGTATATTTCCTATTCCTATGTGTGAGTCTCTATGAATTTCTGTATATACATGTGGCAGTATATTTTCTTTTCTCCCAAAGAAGTCTCAATGTCCCTCTCTCTGTGGTGTTTTTTTTGTTGGTTTTTTTTTTTTTTTTTTTTTTTTTTTGGTGGTACTGGGGTTTGAACTCAGGGCCTCACACTTGCTTAGCAGGCTCTCTACCACTTGAACCACTCCAACAGCCTTTAAGTGTGTGTGTGTGTGTTGGCTATTTTAGAGATAGGGTCTCTCTAACTATTTGCCCAGGCTCACCTTGAACCAAAATCCTCCAGGATTGTTAGGATTATACATTTGTGAGTCACTGGCACTTAGTACTCTCTCTCTCTTTCTCTGTCTTTGCTTCCCGTTATTGGGATTGTCTCTCTTGCTATTTTTCTTTGTTACTTTTGTTTTTATTTATGGATTTTTTAAACACGCAAAAATGAAACGCTTCACGAATTTGCGAGTCATTCTCACACAGGCCATACTAATCTTCTCTGTATCATTCTAATTTCAGTATATGTGCTACTGAAGCAAGCGCTGCTTTGGTTTTTGATTAAGGATGTATGCTTTAGATCTGCAGTATTCATAGAGCTGGGGGGAAAGTCATAATCACTTAGCTCTCTAGCTATCGAAGTATTCTAATTTTAGGTCAGCACCTTCAGACCTAGAGCCTGTAAGAAGCTTATCACAGTTACCTAAAGCATCCACTGAATTAAACATCCTTCTTAGATTGTGCTATGCTAAACACAATTAAAGGCATAGAGCCTGAAAAGCAGTAATGTGATACAGACTTGCCAAAGGACATATATGACAGACTACTGTTCTCCTCAGGCCTTTCATACCCATCAGTACTATATTTTTTTCTGACTTTCACAGGCATAAAGTCATAGGAAAGTCAGGCCTGTTGGTACTCTGTGGAGTGTCTAATCTGCATATTCCCTGTGTGCTTTCACTTTTTTCTTTTTTTTTGGCTTTACTGGGGTTTTGAACTCAGGGCCTTGTGTTTGCTAGGCAGGTGCTCTACCACCTGAGCCATGCCTTCAGCCCTTTTTTGCTTTGGTTATTTTTCACAGAGTCTTGAGTTTTTGCACGGGGCCATGATCCTCCAACATACGGCCTCCCAGGTAGAGGGATTACAGACATGAATGCCATCACACCAAGCTTATTGGTTGAGATAGGATCTCACTCACTTTTTGCCTATGCTGGTCTCAAGCCACAAGCCTCCCAGTTACCACCTCCCAAGTAGCTGGGATTATAGGCATGAGCCATTGCTCCTGGCCATGCTTTCACTTTTTTACAAGAATTCTACCCATGACTTCAACACTGTGGAAGAGGCTGGGAGAAGTCCTCCAGTTTCTCCAGCAGCAGGAGCATTGTTAACTAGTTAAATGACTAGATTCTCAGGTCATCCCAGACCTGGAGCCTCACAGGTGGTTCTGATGCATACTGAAGATGGAGGGCTATGGATGCATACCAGCACCTTCATTTTCAATTAAAGAAACCTAACAAACTCCAGTACCATCATCCCTCACCACCACCACCACAAATAAAAAAAGAAAAGAAAAGAAAGAAGCTTGGTGCCAGTAGCTCATGCCTGTAATCCTAACTACTTGGGAGATTGAGATCAGGAGAATCTCAGTTTGAGGCCAGCCTGGGCAAATAGTTTGCAAGACCCCACCTCCAAAATGAACTGGAGGTGTTACTCAAGTGGTAAAACACCTGCTTTGCAAGCATGAAGCCCTGAGTTCAAACCCCAGTTCCACCAAAAACAAAAGAAGAAAAGAAAAA